TGAACTTGTATGTTTGTAAACGCACCCACGATACAGGAGATAATCCTAGTGTGGGGCAATGTTTTTTTTTAAAAAAAATTCCTCAAAAGGCTGGTAATCGCGTAACACCTCTGGTGTTCCGTGTGTCCATGGGCGACGTCGATTGCTTACCGTCAGGTGATTCGTCTGCTCGTTTACCGGTTTCATTAAAATAAAGATCTCCGATCCAATCACCAGTTTGAGGTCGCAGTTTAATAGTATCAGGTTTTTCAAAGATAGCTACTGCCCCGCTGATCTACTGCTGTCGGATAAACAAAACAGGAATAGTAGGGACGGTACATTGATTAATATTTGTTATTTCTTATTTTCAGGAGGCGTTATTCGATATGACGGAGTATTATGAAAGCGCAACGACATTGTCTATCGCTGGGCCGCGGCAATTTGGCATCCGAGGGTGGCAGGCCGCTTCTAGGATGATCAAAAAGGTAATCGTTTTGTTTCTTACCTTTGAAGTAACGGTAAAATGGGGTGAATAGGGTTCGAGCCCTACATATAACTCGAAAAAAGTCACATTGGTACCTACTTGCCGTTGGTAGGTTTCGAATTTGCACCCTCGTGCAAGAGAAGCGGGCGTCTTAAACCTCCGGGACACCACGACATATTTTTTTTCATTTGGTTGTTAAAATGTGTTGTTACAATAAACAATTTTTATTATTATTATTTTCCATATATTTATTTAAAATTCTTTTATATGACATTTTTAAACACTACTTACAAAAAATATATTTAAAGATATACAAATAGTAACCAATGATGGGAGTATGGTCCAAGCTACCGGTGGTTAGGGTCCAGAGACAGAAACCTCTTCACGATACGTGCCGTTTCTAGGAGAACTGCCTTCTGTATCAGACCCTTGATCCATCCATCTAACGCCAGCCTCCTGAGATGTCGAGTCGAGGCTTTTAAGGATGAAACCTATTGGCCGACACGACTATTATTTTTTATTATTGCATAACATAAAATCACGCCTTTATCCCCGAAGTGCACATTACAGCACTTATGCCACTGTATAATTCAACACCCATTTTTCACTATTTATGTAATGAGTCCCATTCCCATGTAATAGGGAGTGAGCCTATTCCTATATACAGGGCATAATTCCAGACTCCTTGCTACTATTGAGATTTTTTTAAATAATCCCGTAATACATTGCCCGGCCCGGGAATGTCGTACTTGCGACCTCTCGGCCAAAGAGGCAGAACTATAGATGACTATATTATATTATTATACTACTTATTTTTATTATTCTAAGTATATTTAGTTTTTATTAAAATTTCGGTAATAATAAGAAGTTCATGGTCCTAAACAAAGTGAACCTCATGGGGGTTGAACAAGTAGTTCGGTGCTCTCTTCTTGCAAAACTTCATAACAATACGATATTATTAATGACATTTATATCTTTTCATTACAGAGTGCCGATCTATCAGAGCTGGAGATATCGGACGCGCCGCTAGAAGCCTCTCATGCTCCAGTCTTGGCTCGGTCCATAAGAGCACATACCTGCACCTTAAGAGCGCTGTGCTTGCAGCGGGTGTGTCTCACCGGGGAACCATTGTTATGTTTAGGCAAGTGATTATAATATTACTAGCTACTTCCGCGCGGTTTTACACGCTCTGCTCAGCTCCTATTGGTCGTAGCGTGATGTTTTATAGCCTTATTGGCTATGTGCACGACGGTGGCGACGCGTAGCGTTTACAACGTTTGCGGAAGCTGTCAAATAATAACAATGTAAACATTATAGTTTTCTTTGCAAATATAAATAAAATTAAAAAAGTATTGTTGACATTATTTAAGTGCAATTTATTCAATAGTTTTACTGTAAAATGAATATAATAATAAAAACCGGGTTTGAAACTATTACACATAATATTAGTTTCCAACCACAAACTGAGACAAAAGGCAATAAATTAGTATTAGCCGAGCATGTAAGAAATGTGGAAGAGCTGCGACATAACGGCCAGAGCTACTTAATACGAACCACGGTCCATTTCTTTGCTTTGACTTTGTACTGCAAACAACAAATTTGACAGCTGATCACCCGCATTTGTTTCCAATTTCTGTCGTGCTGTGCGCTGCGGTCGTTATCTGTCCGCCACTACTCGCTTTGCACATAGCCAATAGCCATCCTCGATAAATGCGCTATCCAACACAAAATTATGACATTTCTAATTTATTTTCTGACTTTACCTGTTTTAATTTATTTGAATTGTTTCCAATAATAATAATAATACTAATTTCAATATAATTGTTCTTTAATTAGACATAAATTAAACTGTCAAACACCAAGCGGTCACCGGTGACCGAAACCTATTGTTCTATAATTGTGTCTACAAAACCGGTACTCGACGAGTTAATACTGTTAATACAATTTTATTTGTACACCGGTAACGGTAGTATGTGTGGAACTTTGTTAATTTTAAGATCTCTGTGCACCATGTACTGAGAAATAAATGACGTTCATTCATTCATTCAAAAATAATTATTCATATCAGACTTGTAGTTACGGAGATTAGCGCGTTCAAACAAACAAAACAAACTCTTCCGCTTTATATAATAGTATAAGATTTTACACATAACATCACGCCTTTTGTCACCTAAGGGGTAGCCACTATGCCCGACGATATGTGTATGCTATATACACGTCCAAACCAGAGTAACATTCCCTTTTCAATCCTTGTCACTACATCATACAGGCAACTGCCTCGTTGGCCGAGTGGTCGCAAGTGCG